GGAGCGGGACTGCACGGCCGCCAGCTCTGGGTTAGGCCAGCTTGGCCGGCCCTGGCAACACAGGCATGACCTCGACCACAGCTCAGCAGTGGAAAGCCTCTCTGACGGGGTGCTTGCTGGGACATACGCTGTGGCTCCTGTCACAGGACAATCTTAAAGGAGCTGAACAAGAGAAGAGTGGGTCATGTTTTCTGCTGGAACAGGAGGGAACAGGCTAGCCCCAAGTTTGCCCACATCTTCCCTACAACCCTTCAGAATGGGCTGTCCCACATCTGTCCCTCCCCTTTGGCATTAAAGCTGCCCTGAGACACAGAGGAACTGGAGAGACTGCTCAGCCTGGCTGCCACCCCCCATGCTAACATCCCAGACCCAGGTGCAGCAGGTGGGGACCCAGAATACTGGGGACCATGACCATTGTACCTGGCAAAGTCCGGTGACCGGGAGATGACGTGCTGAAACTCTGAGAGGTTGATGGTGCCATCCCTGTCAATGTCGGACTCTTCCAGGATCTGGGGGAGGGAGAGCTTCAGGGCAAGTCCCTGTCCTTCCCTCCCGCTCCCTGGCCTGGCCCAGCTACTCACATTATCAATGAGCTGTTTCATCTCTGAAGCACTAAGCCGTGTGTCCTCGCCCTGTCCTGTGAGGCAGTTCACGAGGTGACTCAAGTCTTCTCGGTTCAGGGTTCCATCATCATCAAAGTCTAGAGACAGACACAGGAAGCCAGAAAGAATCTGGTCAGGGTGAGCTCCCAGGCTCCCGAGCGGTACACCACCGCCAGGACCATGTGGGGACAGGCCGTGTCCCACCAAGTTGCTCCTGGCTCTCACCGAAGATGCGGAAGGCATAGTGGGACTTGATGTCTGGAGTTGCTGTGTCACTGAACACACTGAGAAGGTCCAGGAAGTCCTCAAAACTCAGGCTGTCCCTGGCCGGGGATGTGGAGAAGATCCTGCAGATTCGTTCCTTGAAGGGGTTGGCCTAGGCAAGAGAGCCTTGTGTGAAGGCCACAGATGCAGCCCAGGTCACACGCTCCTCAGACCCCACCAGGACCTGGAGGGAGCAGGTCACGGAACCCGCTCTGTGAGCTCAGGCTCACAGGAGAGAAGGATCAGTCTTTTAGGGCCAGCCTGGAGGGCAGGAGGACCACCTGACTAAGGGAAGGGACAGGAATGGTTTCCTGTGAGTCAGTTTAACCCAAAGGCAGGTCTAGGGGCAGAGAAGGAAGATGAAAGCATCCTAAGGGAAGAGAGTAAGATGGGCTGGTTACTTTAAACACGTTTACTTCAACACTCACTGTGTTATAGGCCCTTTGCATAAAAATTTTCACAGCAGGGGCACCCCCGGTGGCTCAGTCAGTGGTCAGACTCTTGATCTCGGCTCAGGGTTGTGATCTCAGGGTCATGAGATCAAGCCCCTCTCCAGGCTCCATGTGGGGTTGGCTTGTCCCTCTCCCTGCCCCTCTCCCCCACTCTCAAATAAGTAAAAATCTTTATAAATTTTTTTTTTTTAAGATTTTATGTATTTGGGGCGCCTGGGTGGCTCAGTGGGTTGAGCCTCTGCCTTCAGCTCGGGTCATGGTCGCGGGGTCCTGGGATCGAGCCCCGCATTGGGCTGTCTGCTCAACGGGGAGCCTGCTTCCCCCCTCTCTGCCTGCCTCTCTGCCTACTTGTGATTTCTCTGTCAAATAAATAAAATTTTTTTAAAAAAGATTTTATTTATTTGTCAGAGAAAGAGAGTGTGCACAAGCAGTGAGAGCAGCAGGCTCCCCGCTGAGCAGAGAGCCTGATGTGGGACTCGACCCCAGGACCCTGGGATCATGACCTGAGCCGAAGGCAGATGCTTAACCGACTGAGCCACCCAGGCTTCCCTAAAAAATGTTTTTCACAGCAACCCTACAGAGAGGAATAGGGTTTCTCAAACCTTAATTGGGTAGCTCAACTCCTTTTAAAGGACAAAACTTCTTTGATTCTCCAAGAGTATGTCCAAGAATCCCAGTTTGCAAAACACCCCTCTAGTTAATTCCACCAGGTGATTTTGGTAAAGCCCTCTTCCCCAGAAAATTAGGGCTAAATAAAGAGAAAACCATAACGGGGACCGGTGACCACATGATCTCAAGAGGAACAGCAGAGGGAGAGTGGGGGACTGGCACCTTGAGCTCTGGAAGGCTGAGGATCTGCTCCAAGGACACTCGTATCTGCAGTGACTCCTCCACGCTCCGGTGCTCTGGGGGAAGCAGCTCACAAAACCGCCTGTGGGCTCTGGCAGAAGAGGAACTTGTCGACAAACCTTTCTGTGTGTATTACATCCCCACTCCTTGCTTCATTACCCATTATAAACCGGGTGAGGAGCTAAGGCACATGCACAGAACTTCTCAGTCAGCAGGCATAGGCCAAAGGGAGACACATATGTAGTCCCATGTGTAGAATCCAAATGTCTCCAGACCTCAGGCTGAGAGTGCATTCATGCCATGGGTATTTACTGAGGGTCTAATGTGTGCCAATCACTGTACTGGGCATAGGTTCTAAAGCTCCCAGAGGAATGGAGAGGCTGCAGAAGGAGCCAGAATTTGGCCCTGAAAAGCAGGGAGAAAAGAGTAAAATTGAAATCTCTTTCCCGTTTCACTCCAGGAATCTCCAGCTCTTCAAAGCCTTCCTCTTTTTAGTAACCACCCGAAACGATCTCTTCCTCAGCCCTTCCCTCCTTCCCGCTGGCGTTATCTTTGCCAAGGCAAGCCAAGGAATCTCCTCACTTAGGTGCCTTCACCACAAAAAGCTGGCACGCGGCTAGGAAGGGGGTTCCAGCTCGAGTTCAAATCCTCTTACTTGGAGTGTAAGTAACTTTGGTAACTTAGGGAAGTTACCAACCTTCTCTGAAACCTGTGTCCTTGTCCCAGTACCTCCCACCTGAGGATTAAATTAGGTAATGTAGGCAACCAACCACTTCCAAGGGTCCTGGCACCCGGAGAGTGCTCAGTAAGCGTTAACGGCTACTGTGTTAATTCAGATCGAGTTACCAGGAGCCAAGTTCCCGGTAGGCGAAGTCCGCGGAGAGCCACAGCAGCCCCTGCCCGGCTGGGGGCAGGAAGTTCGGTCATGCACAAGGCAGCGGGGCGTAGGCCCCGGGGCGCCCAGCGGGGCCCGAGGCTGCGAGGTGGCTCCCAGCGGTGCGCAGCGGGGTTGGCGGCGGGGGTGGGGTGGGGGGCGAAACAGCAGGAGGGCGGGGAGGGCGGGGCGGGCAGAGGACACTGCCCGGGACTCGGGGCCCGGGCGCCGGCTCCCGCTCGGCCGCGGACCGCAGGCAGGCCCCTGTCCTTCCCTCTGGGGGACCTGCCGTTTGCCCGTCTGCGGACAGAGCCCCCCCCGAAGCCGCCTCTAGAGGATCCGGGAGCTGAAGTTCGACAGGGCACTTACAGGAGGATCTCCTGCTTGGTCAGGAACGTCAAGTCCTGGAAGACAAAACGGAAGGGGTTCAGCGAGCCTCCCGGAGGCCACGCCCGCTCTGCCGCCGGCCCCGGGACCCGGCTCCCCAGCGCAGGCCCGCGCGCAAACTCCCCGGGACCTGCGTCCCGCGCACCTGGTACTCCGCCAACAGCTCCTTGGACAGGCGACTGCCCGAGCTCCCCATCGTCGCGCCGCGCGCACAGCTCCGCCAACTTGCCTCGGGGCGCCGGCAACTTTTCCACTTCCGCCCTCGGGCCGCGTCACTGCTCGGTCCCCGCGGCAACCGCTCCTGGGGCCACCGCCCCCGGGCCCGCCCCCTCCTTAAAGTGCCCAGGCGCTCCCTGCCCGGTTCCGCCGGCCAGCTCCCGGCTCCGGGCTGTCCTTGGCGAGCTGGAGGCGGGGCCCGGAGCGTCCGGGGCGGAGCCCAGGCCGCACGGCCCCGCCTCCGGAGTGGGCGGGGCGAGCCCCGCCGCGTGCGAGCGGCCGGACTGCGCATGCGTTTGGGACGCCACAGCCTCGCCATGGCCCGGCCAGGAGCTTGCGGCGAGTGTCGCGTTGCGTCCTTCTCTACTGCTGTCGGTCGTGCGGCGGCCTTCGGCGCGGTCGGGGCCCAAGGGAACTACCTGGAACCTGGAAATCCGGAAAGCTCGAGACTCGCTACGTGGCCGAAGCGCGGCGAGGACTTTTACATCCGGACGTTGGCGCTCGCCCTCGCCACACGTGTTGCAGCCCGCATCCCACCTCCAGAAATGACCAGAACCTTGCGGCCCACTGAGGGTGTGCGCTGAGGGTCTGCAGACTGCAGAGCCGTGCATAGTGATCTTCAAATTTCACAAGAGGCCGCAGGGTAGGTTCCCATTTTACAAATGTGGAAAACAGGCCCGCGGGAAGGATTCAGGTGATTTGTCCCTACTCTGTCATTTAGAAGGCGGTCACCCCGGTCTAAGGCTCTTCTCAAGGGTCCCTGTGACTGTAGACCTCACTAGAGCCGGCAGGGACTGAGGCTGACTTGTTTGCACTTGTGCCCTCTCGGCCCCTAGGACAACGCTTGGCCCAGAGCAGGCTCTCAGCAAACTGGATGCGTGAATGCGGGAACGAACCTCCACTGTTCCAGAAGGTGAGGATTCCAGGCTGAGGGAGGAGGTGGAGGTGAGATTAATTCTTTTGTTTTCAGCTTTATTGATGTGTATTTGACAGCATTGTGGGTATTAGTTCTTGATTCTCCTGATTCATTCTACTTGCTGATCTTCGTAAAGTTTAGATCTGATCATGGTCATTTCGGTTTAAAACTAATAAATGGTTGAAAACCGGAATACCGGCCCTCTGAAATCTGACTTCAGCCTCTCTGCTCTCTTCCCTTGGCTTTGTGGGTTCCCTCCCGGCACAGTGGACTCTGAGTGCCTCTTCCATAATAGCCTTGGGGAAGCCTCTCCTGGTTCTCTAGAATAGATTAAGAATCCTCAGGTTGGCAACTTAATGTTTACGTGGCTGTTGATTGGGTAGTGTCTGTCCCGTCCCTCCCTCCCCCAAGAGCTCCGAGAATTGTGATCTACAGGATCTAATAGGTGGCCGTTGTTGAGTAAATGTTTGCTGAGTGACCTTAGCTTCCCCAGCACTCAGCAAGGTGTTCATCTGAGAGTGGCTTTAGGAAGACCCTGTCTCAATATGGGAGTCCCCACCACCATTGTGGAAATACTCCATTCCAGGAAGTAGAGGCTGCAAAGTACTGAGAACACCAAAACCAGTCAAAATGAGTATAGTTCCATCCCAACCTAATCATCTTGACAGGAGGCTCTTTGTGTACAAGAGATTGGTTAGTAAAAGGGGAGACGAAGAACAGGAAGCTGTCGTGGTGTCCTCTAGACTGAGGGGAGGGAGCACTGGCCAGCCAAGGCCTGTCCCTGGACTTCCTGGTGATACTGTGTCTCTTCAAAGTGAAGATGTGGCAATTGGCCCTGTGCCATGGTGACCAGCTGTGACACAGATCTCTCAGTCACCTCGCTTGGTGCTGAACCCTTCCTTGAATAGCCTTCTGATTATAATTTCGCTTCCTGGTAGATTTTTTTTTTTTTTTTTTGAGATTTTATTTATTTATTAGGCAGACAGCTCACAAGTAGGCAGAGAGGCAGGCAGAGAGGGGTGGGGGGAAGCAGGCTCCCTGCTGAGCAGAGAGCCTGATGTGGGGCTCAATCCCAGGACCCCGAGATCATGACCTGAGCCGAAGGCAGAGGCTTAATCCACTGAGACACCCAGGCGCCCCCCTGGTAGATTTTTGTACAGAAGAGGAACTATCCGGATTAGCCAATAGGAACATTTCGTGCTTTTTGGCATGTTTCTCATTATAAGTTACTGAATAGGCATTCTGAGTCTGTTTAGCATAATGCCCTGCCTGTGCTAGACCAACTCTTGAAACAGTGTAAAACTGAGTTGCTGAAATACTTTTAAAAACAGCTTCTAGTGTTTCTTGTTATGAATTTTTTTTTAAGATTTTATTTATTTATTTATTTGACAGGCAGAGATCACAAGTAGGCAGAGTAGCAGGCAGAGAGAAAGAAAGGGAAGCAGGCTCCCTGCTGAGCAGAGAGCCCCATGCAGAGCTCCATCCCAGGACCCTGGGATCATGACCTGAGCCAAAGGCAGAGGCTTTAACCCATTGAGCCACCCAGAGGCCCCAACTGCTCCTTGTTGTGAAATTATTTTATTAGTTAGATCTCTTCAAGTTTTGTTCATAACTACCAGCTCTTGGATTTGAATTCCACTTTTTTTTTTTTAAGACATCTTTTCCCTGTTCATAATATTATTTCCTTCTTCCTGTTTTCCTTGGGACATGAGATAGGAGAACCACACCAGGTTTCCCTGAGGGGGTGACATTTGACCTGAGACTTGAAGGGGACAGTCCTGTGAAGAAAATCTGCGAAAAGGGTATATTGTAGGCAGGGACCCCAGAAAGCACCAAGGCCCTGAGCTGGAACAAGTTCAGTAAGTGAGGAGTTGAGTAGACGAGGGGAAGAGTGGAATGAGAGGCCGCGAGAGTGGGCGCACAGCTAAGCCTTATGGACTTCATTCTAGGGGCTCAAGGTCACATCCCTAGTGACTAGTAGAACAGGAATTCAAACATCTGATTCGCCTGTAAGGCCTAATCTCTCACCTTTGTCCCAGGATGATGCCCAGTTCACAGGCTTGTTGTGAAGGTAGGTCGTCTGAGAGAACATAGAGGGCACCCAACCCATGCCTGGCACAAGGTAGACATGCGACCAGTGTTCCCTTGCTCCTGGTTTTCGTGGAAAGGTTTGATCCTGTGACATGATCACTGCTGATTGATCACTCTGAAGTGTTCTCTGGTCACAGGTAATGCTTTGTGCCTACTAGTTCACTTTAATGTAAATATGACTGTGCCCACTTTCTGTTGATCAGCACGTCTTTACTCGTATATTTAGCCTCCTGGTGTCATCTTGGTCCTGGGTCCTTGGTCCTAGTCCCGAAATTAAAATGCTACTTCATATTTGTATCTGGTCCATGCCTTACCCTTGACCTCCAGGTTTGACTGTCAGCTGCCTCCACCACTTCTTGGATGCTCAGGCTGTATCTCAAGCTTAGTCATCAAAACTGAATTCTCCATTCCCCCCCTTCTTCTAAATCAATCTAGTCCCACCCCCACCCCTCCCTCAGTCCCTCCAGCTCGATAAAGGCCACCGTGATGTACCTCGTTTCTGAAGCTGATACCCTCTCGGTTCTTCCCAGTGCTCAGTCCCCTTAGCCCTTTTTTTTTTTTTTAAGTATTTTATTTATTTATTTGACAGAGAGAGAGATAGTGAGAGAGGGAGCACAAGCAGGGAGAGAGGGAGAAGCAGGCTTCCCATGGAGCAGGGAGCCTGATGCGGTGCTCAGTCCCGGGACCCTGGGACCATGACCTGAGCCCAAGGCAGATGTTTAACAACTGAGCCATCCAGGCACCCCATATTAAAAACAGAGAGAGAGAGAAAAGTTTACTCAATATACATAACCTTTAAAAGAAAAAGTGGGGCACCTGGGTGGCTCAGTGGGTTAAAGCCTTTGCCTTCAGCTCGGGTCATGACCCCAGGGTTCTGGGATTGAGCCCTGCGTCGGACTCTCTGCTCGGCGGGGAGCCTGCTTCCCCCTCTCTCTCTGCCTGCCTCTCTGCCTACTTGTGATCTCTGTCTGTCAAATAAATAAATAAAATCTTTTAAAAATAAATAAATAAAAGAAAAAGTATTTTTTAATTCAGCGGAAATGAATGCTAATTTAGAGGTGATGGAATCATGAGTATTTCCATGTTTTCAAAATATTTTCCCAAAGGCATAGATTGATTTTGTAATCGGAACAAGAAGTAAAAATTTATTTGAAACTCAATATGGGATCTCTGAAAATGGGGCGGTGCCCTGTATTTTTCACCTCTTAGGATTGTTTCAGGTCAGCCCCATGGCCGCTGCACAGGATTCAAATGAGATTTCCTATTTGCTCCCTCCAAACCGTAAGGACTGGGAAGAGCAAGGTGTTCCCGACTTTGTCTACCAGCAGAAGGAACTTCTGGAAGGGATTCAGTGGCCAAGGACCGCACCCAGCCTCCGGGACAGGACACCCGGGTCTCGCTTCGACTCTGCTCTCTGCGCCGCCTGGAGGCAGCGGATGGAACTGGGGCTCTTCCGCTACCGCCTTGGGGAGCTGCAGACCCAGACCCTCCCTGGTGTGGTGGGTTTTGTGGCTCAGCTGAATGTGGAGCGAGGTGTGCAGAGGAGGCGCCCCCAGAACATCCGGAGTGTGAAGCAGGCATTTGACCCCGAACAGTTTAACTTCAACAAGATCCGGCCAGGAGAAGTCCTCTTCCGTTTGCTCCGGCAGCCCGATCTCCCAGGTGCTCTCCAGCAAGAGGACATCCTCGTCATGATCAATGTCAGCCCCTTGGAGTGGGGCCACGTGCTGCTGGTGCCCGAGCCCACCCGGGGGCTCCCCCAGCGCCTGCTGCCAGGCGCACTGCGGGCCGGCGTCGAGGCTGTGCTGCTGAGCTCACACCCGGGCTTCCGCGTCGGCTTCAACAGCCTGGGTGGCTTGGCCTCGGTGAACCACCTGCACCTGCACGGGTATTACCTGGCTCACAGACTGCCCGTGGAGGGGTCACCGAGCGAGCCCCTGGACCCTGGGGGCCGTTTGCACCTGCTCCGGGCCCTCCCCGCTCCCGGCTTCCTCTTCTACACAAGTGGGCCAGGGCCTGACTTGGAAGCCCTCGTAGACAGGGTATGTCGGGCCACTGACTACCTGACGGACCATGAGATTGCCCATAATTTGTTTGTGACCCGGGGGGCCCCACCTGGAAAGACATCACCATCCTCCGCTCTCACAGGCATCCGAGTAATTCTGTGGGCCCGGAAGTCCAGCTTCGGGGTAAAGGAGGGCGAGGCGTTCAATGTCGCCCTCTGTGAGCTGGCCGGGCACCTCCCCATCAAAACGTCCCAGGATTTCGGCAGTCTGACGGAGGCGGCTGCTCTGGCCCTCATTCGAGACTGTCTGCTGCCCCCAGCCCAGGCGGAGGAAGTACAGGCAGCACTGGTGGCCTTGATTGCCCAGGATGAACAGTAATCCTTCTAGAAGTATGTATTTTCTACCCGGTCTAAGTCCCTTTCCAGAAAGCTGTCCACAGTGGTCGCTTGGGGTTCCATGGCTGCTGCCTTACCCGCTTACCCCCAGGGGGAGGGGTAAAGAACTATTAAGTGGTCTCTGTAAAGAGAAGAAACCTTAGAATAAATTGAATGATTGCACCGTTATGAATGTATCTGCTTCTCATTTTTCTTCTTAGGCAAGCTTCAGGGATGTCAAACCTGTTACTAGGGAGGAAGTATGGGGGCGACTGGGTGGCTCAGTCCATGAGGTGCCCAGACTCTTGATTTCAGCTCAGGTCACGATCTGGGTTGTGCGATCCAGCCCCGCATCGGGCCCAGTGCAGAGTCTGCTTGAGGTTCTCTCCCTCTGCCCACCGCCCCCCTACCACATATGCACACTTGTGTTCTCTCTCTCTGAAATAAAATCTTTTTAGAAAATAAACAAATAGAGCATGCACAAGAGTTACATATCCTGGGGTGCCTGGGTGGCTAAGTCAGTTGAGCGTCTGCCTTCGGCTCAGGTCGTGATCCCAGGCTCCTGGGATAGAGCCCCATGTTGGGCTCCCTGCTCGGTGAAGAGTCTGCTTCTCCCTCTCCCTCTGCCCCCTCTTCTACTGTGTGTGTGCTCACTCGCTCTCTCATAAGTAAATAAAAATACTAAAAAAGAGTTAAGTGGGGTGCCTGGTTGGCTCAGTTGTTAAGTATCTGCCTTCGGCTCAGGTCGTGTTCCCAGGATCCTAGGATCAAGCCCCACATCAGGTTCCCTCCTCTGAGAGAAGCCTGCTTCTCCCCCTCCCACTCCCCCTGCTGGTGGTCTCTGTTCTCGCTGTCTCTCTCTCTGAAATAAATTAATAGAATCTTAAAAAAAAAGTTACATATTCCTGACGATATATATAGACTTTTCCTTTCATATCAAGTCTTGGCAAAGTGATAGTTAAAGTGCCTCAGGCATTGTGTCCCCGCTTCCTCTGCCCTCGCCTCTGCCAGTTCTCCCTTCTCGAGCCACCAGTGACCATTTCTTCATCCCTCCCCTCCCCTGGGTCTTGCTCCCCCATAACCCCTACTTAGAGCACCTTTCCCCGGCCCGGACAGCCTTGAATTTCCCTCCAGCCCCCAGCACGGAGTTGAGTGTTCCTCACGCACGTCACCTCATGTGAGAAAAGGCATCTTCACAACTTGAGTACCGCCGTATAATGAGGAGAGGCTGGCAGAGTGGAGGCAACTTGTCTGAGCCCGTACAGCTCACACGCGGCGGGGTCAGGACCGCAGCACCGGTGGTCCGCTGCCAGAAGCTGCCTCTCTAGGCATCGGCTCCGCTCACTTGGTAGTGGTGGTGTCCTTAACAGCTGATGAGCCCGGAGCTGAGGTTCAGGTTCCTGCGTAGCTGGCTTTCTCCATCCTGGCCTCGTCTGAAGTTTGTTTGTTTTTTTTTTTTAAGATTTTATTTATTTATTTGACAGACAGAGATCACAAATAGGCAGAGAAGCAGGCAGAGAGAGAGAGAGAGGAAGGGAAGCAGGCTCCCTGCTGAGCAGAGAGCCCCATGTGGGGCTCAATCCCTGGACCCTGAGACCATGACCTGAGCCAAAGGCAGAGGCTTAACCCAGTGAGCCACCCAGGCGCCCCTCGTCTGAAGTTTTTATATAGAATTTTAGAGTTTTATATCCCAGAAGATGTTACAAGGTCCCACTGAGTTAAGGCAGAATATGTACCACCAAAAAAAAAAGTTTATAAGAAAAGTTTAATATTTACATTTAAATATTATATATTTGACATTTAAATTCCTATAAAAAAACTTGGGGTCGACCTCCTCTTTCCGGCACTTCGCAGTAATTTTAGCTTATGTTCCTTTCTGTGAGCCTTTGCATATACAAGCTCCGCTAACATCACTTTGTTTTGCTCCCTCAGTCTGAAGGAAGTGCAAATAACTGTTACAGCAAAGTGGACTTTGTGTCCCAGGTGATGAGCCTAAATACCAGGTTTTTACCCCAGGACTGCTGTTCAGAGGAAAGCCTTCTCTGGCCAAACTAAGTTTTTCCATAAGATGGGGTGGGGGGGGGGGAGCAGATAGGTTTTCTTTATGGTGGTACTTCTCAGCTGTTTATATAGCTCGTGAATTGTGAAGAAGGGGATTTAGAAGCTTTTCCTAAGCTTAAGTGTGGAACACTTAGGGGACCCTCCATACTCCCCTTCGAGCACCCTAGAAAGATAGGAAGGCGTGATCCAGCCCAGCGCCCCTCCACCTCTGCTTGCTTTTTGGTAGAGAGCCTATGTAACGAAGGGGTTTGGGATTTGATCTAATGGGAAACCCTGAAGAGTTTTAAATTGGGGAGTATCCAATTTGCATTAGAAAGAATACTTAAGGGCGCCTGGGTGGCTCAGTTGGTTAAGCATTTGCCTTCAGCTCAGGTCATGATCCCAGGACCCCGGGATCGAGTTCCATATGGGGCTCCTTGCTCAAAAGGGAGCCTGCCTCTCTCTCTTTGCCCGGCTCATGCTCTCTCTCTCTCTCTCTCAAATAAAGAAATATAATCTTAAAAAAGAAAAGAAAAAATACTGAAGATGTAATGGATGGGTGTAAAGGAGGGAAGAACAACCAGAGAGTCCATTTAAGAGGTTGCTGTGTGGTGGCAAATTCAGGCAAGAATTGGTGATGGTTCAGGTCCCAGAATAGTGCCTGGAACCCAAAATATTTGGGCAAAAAAATGAGAAAAGTGATAGTCCTGCAAGAGACTCCAAAGCATTTCAAGAAGAGAGTAACAATATATGCTGAAGAAACATGAATCAAAGAATGTCCACATCTTTTTTAAAGGAGGGAGGTTTTAGTTTTTTGGGTTTTTTTGTTTTGTTTTGTTTTTTAAGATTTTATTTATTTGAGAGAAAGAGAATGAGAGAGATAGAGCACGAGATGGGGAAGGTCAGAGGGAGAAGAAGCCTCACTGCTGAGTAGGGAGCCCGAGGCAGGACACCATCCTACAACTCCAGAATCACGACCTGAGCTGAAAACAGTCGCTTAACCAACTGAGTCACTCAGGCGCCCAAGAAGGGAGTTTCTAAAGCGTCCTCTAGATTTAGGCACACGGGATAGTCTAGAATGACAGGTTGGACTGAGTTCGGTGGAGGTGGCCATCAGAAGTCAGAGTGTAGGGACACGCATAGGAGGAGCGGTGAAGGAGCTCTGTGATGAGGCCCTTTTGTTACTCAGTACAGCAGGGTGCGCGCTATTCGCCGCTGTCCCTGCCCAGCGCGGACGCGCTTCAACACAGGTCACTAAAACACTGAAGGCAGGCGAGCAGGTACTTGTTCCGAAGGCAGACTTGGCCAAATTCCGGACTCGCCCCCCCGGGTTCGAGATAGGATAGGATGAGACGTGTGTGAAGCGGCGAGAAAGCGAAGGGCTACAAGTCCCAGCTGATGCCCCAGACAGCGGCCGCAGAGCTGCAGCGGGGACCGCTGAGCCACCACCGCCAGCCCCCAGGGTGGCCTCGGCCCGCGCCCGAGTGGGTGTGGTCCCGGGGAAGCCCCGCCCCCAGAACGCTTCTCCAATGGGGGCCGCCCTCGTGTCCATGGCGACGGCGGCGGCGGCGGCTGCTGGCTTGCTGTAGGAGGCGCCGCCGCCGCCGGGAACCTCTGAGCTAGGAGCAAACCCCGGAAGGGGGGGGGCGGGCTCCCCCTCGCGATCTGCCGGGACAGCCAGTCCTGTGGAACAAGGAGGCGGTCGTGGACGCCCAGCGACGCCCGGGAAGGAGCAGGAGCCGGGCGAAGGGTGGACATGAGCGACCACCTGAGTCCAGTCTCGGACCGCTAGGGGCGGACCCAGCAGCCCCCACCCCCTCCTCGGAATCTCGGGTGGGCAGTGTCCGCCAGGGGCTCCTCCTCCGCCAGCAGAGCCCAAGGGGTCCTAGCCGTCAAGTGCCAGGGTGTACACATGGAGAAACTGAATCATGGGGACAGGGAAAGGGCCGGCTTAGGCGACCTTTGGTTTTCAGCTCCATTTTAAAATCGAAGGTCCCCCAAGAGCCCAGCCATCCCCTCCTTCCCATTCAGGAATTAAAAAGTCATGGTCATGGTCCCTGCCAGCTCTGTCCAGCTTCTACGTGCACCCCAGCATGTGGTATGGAGGGGTGATCTTGGATAATCAGGACTTGTCGGGGAAGCCAACATTTCACAGGCATTCCCCTGCCCCCATTACCTACGTGGAAACCATCCCCTTCTGCAATGGGATTGTTCTGTAGGGGCAGCAACGTTCCCCTGTAACACCATGAAGGAGATCCTTGGCGTGGACTCCCGCAGGCCTTCCTGGACCTGGAGGAAGGAAGCTCCGACACATATTTCACTCTCACCCCTCTTCCCTCAGAACCTAAGAGGATGGAGCCAAATACCTGTAAGACCAGCGAATCGGAGGAAGACTACGCTGAGGAAGAGGAATCCGAGGAGGAGTGTGTTCAAGAAGCTACCCTCCCTTCTGACTCTCCTCAGCAGGAGCTCTCAAAGGCTGACTATAAGGAATTTGGGGATGAAGTGTCCTTATCTATTGTAGCCAAGAAAATCCCAAAGAAAATCATAGCCCCAGCTGACTCAGATGACTTAGAAGTCGGGAGGAGAAAGAGAAGGCGGAAACGCAGGTAACAGACAGGTGCCTGGGTCCCCTCACTGGCCTGGCTGCAGAAGAGAGTCACCCCTTGGCCTCCCTTCAGCAGTTGTGGAGGGAGGCGGGGGTCTTCCCTTTCATCTGCAAAAGAGGACAGGCAGTACAGGAACATCGTTAACCTTTTGGTACTACAAAAACACAAAATTCAGAACCTTTTGAGCTGGCTTGGTTTTAATTTTCAGCCCATTTCTATCATCCTGGTCTTCAAGTGGCTTTTAGAGACAATGAATTGCATTGTAGATGTGTCGGGTACCTGGAAGCCCTGGGTCTGTCCTTTATCTCACTCTGCCTGATTTCTACTATTCCTCCCTTCCAGACCCCTGGCCATCAACTTGACCAACTGCAAGTATGAGAGTGGTAAGTACCCAGCTCGCTCACACACCACTGTCCATAGGAGGGCACCTGCAGCTTTCGCTCTCGGGATGGTCCCCAGTCAGGCTCCCAGCCCCTGCATCTTGTTCGGCTGGCCTATAGCCAGTACTGAGCTACTAGCGGCTGAGACATCACTGTTCTAGTGGTAGCGGAAATCCCACTGTTATCCAGCAAGAAAAAGCGACTGAAGGTCACCATTGCTCTCCCCTTCCCAGATTTTACCATAATTGACATGAGAACAGGTCAATATGGTTGTGGTCCCCTCCCCCAAGGAAGCCCTTGAGGGGGCTTGAGGAATTAAAAGAAAAAAATCAACAGCTAGGTCAGCTATCTTTTCATCTCCTCCTGTGTCCACTGCCATCTGGGCCAGGGGCCACCCTGTGTGGGAGGTGCCAGTGTGACCCCTCTGGAGGGTCGGTTCTGCAGGTCAGAAACCACCCCAATTGAGAGAGAGAAGACTCAGAGGAGCAGAGAGCCAGGCTCTAGTTTTCTCTGTCACGGATTCTGGAAGGGCCCTGACAGCCTCATGAACTTGGAATTGTCACGTGGTAATTAAGCTGTAGCACTGGAGGTAAGAGCCACCGCCGTCTTCAACCCACTCTGTGGTCAAGTCTGTTCCTTATCGGACCCAGCTACAGTCCCCAGGCTTGCTGCCAGTGTCCCGGCTGGCACCACTGACCTCCCTCTCTCCACAGTGCGTCGGGCAGCCCAAATGTGTGGCCTGAAGGAGGTGGGGGAGGACGAGGAATGGACTGTGTACTGGACAGACTGCTCTGTCTCACTGGAACGAGTCATGGACATGAAAAGGTTTCAGGTACGACCTCTGGACCCGAGCCTAAAAGGGGCCACGGTCCCTGAATGAGTCCTCTCCCCGTTCTGCTCGGGCAGCTGCGGCTGCCACCCTCTGTGGCTGTCTCCCTGGGCAGAGTGGGAAAGGCCATGGCCAGGGCTTCTGCTCCCCTGGGAAAATTCTCCTCTTGGGTTTCTGGAACTTCTATTATAGGAAGGAAGGATCTGCTGGGCACTATTTGCCTGGAGGCATCCGTGCCCACCTGGCGCCCTTGAGGGCAGGTGAGCCCACCTAAGGGGAAGGCAGCTTCAGTGCTCACAGCTGGGCAGGCAGAGTGATCGGCTTCTAAGCAGCTTATCCGAGCATTGGCATCCGCTGAGAGTCAGTGCGGGCCCCTGCAGGGTAGCAAGGAAGTCAGGAAAGATGCGTCCCCCAAAAGATCATAGCCTCTTTATGGCATTGTTGTTATCCTCTAATTGGGTCTTTTTTTTTTTTTTTAAGATGTTATTTTTTTAAAGATTTTATTTATTTATCTGACAGAGAGAGAGATCACAAGTAGGCAGAGAGACAGGCAGAGAGAGGGGGGAAGCAGGCTCCCCGCTGAGCAGAGAGCCCGATACAGGGCTCGATCCCAGGACCCTGAGCTCATGACCTGAGCCGAAGGCAGAGGCCCAATCCACCGAGCCACCCAGGCGCCCCTTAAGATTTTATTTTTAAGTTAATCCCTATACTCAACATGGGGCTTGAACTCAGAACCCAGAGAGCAAGAGTCACACACTCCACCGACTAAGCCGGACCTCTAATGGGGTCTTTGTGGTGGTTAGCAACTCCAGAATTTAGAAAGGTCTGCAGGCTTAGTTTGAGGGGAAGCCAGGAAGGGAGTGGAGGAGATTGTAACTGGTCCTACAAGTCACGGGAGAAGAGCCCGAGAGAGAGAGAGAGAGAGAGAGAGAGAGAACTGGAAGTGCTTGAGGAGCCCCAAAGAAGGGTCAAGCAGGAAGCAGTTGGAAGATGAGCAAAATAAGATGAACAACATTCCTTGGGGGTATTAAGTGCTTTTATACTCTTCCCTCATTAAATCCTCAAAACCAACCCTGAGTGGCAGACACCCTTTTGTTAAGAGGACACCAAGGCTCAGAAACACGAAGTTCCTGCAGCGGATGAGTGGTAAAGCCAGTGAGACAGCCCAGAACCGACACGAGATGCTGCCTCCTGGCTCTGGGGTTCCAGCAGGCGCCCTGGCAATGCCAGATCCTGGGGGCACCGCGGCAGGGCATTCCTGGGACTGTGCAGCTTCCTTTGATCTTTTGGAAAAAGGTTTCTCATTTGCTTGTGCTCCCATGCACCAATTCTTAGAGGACGCATCTCCAGTGCTCTGGGGGATGTTATAAGGCAGCTAGAAAGCCTAGAGTCCTGGTGAATCCTTCTTGCTGCCCCTCATTTCCCAACCTCAGTGTGGGCTTGTGTTTTGGGAGAGGCCAAAGAGGAGGTTCTCACTTCCTTTAGGGAACCTTCCTTTTCTCCCTTAGGGTATTGGGTACAGGGATTACCCCCACTGTGACTTTTTTTTTTTTTAAGGTTTTATTTATTTGAGAGCAAGAGAGCACACAAGCAGGGGGGAGGAGCAGGGGGAGAGGGAGAATCAGGTTCCCAGCTGAGTGGGGAGCCTGACACAGGGCTCAATCCCAGGACCCGAGATTATGATGTGAGCTGAAGGCAGATGCTTAACTAACTTAGACACTGAGGCGCACCCCACCACACTTAAGAGAGAGAAAGAGAGAGAGTGCGTGCATGTGCTTGTGGGTAGGGCTGAGGAGCAGAGGGAGAGTGAAAGAATCTTAAGCAGCCTCCACACCCAGCACGGAGCCCAATGAGGGGTTCAGTCTCAGGACCCTAAGATCATGACCCGAGCTGAAATCAAGTCAGACACCTAACTGACTGAGCCACCCAGGCACCTTGTCCACTGTGACTTCTATCTTGACCTTCCCAGTCCTCCCGGCATGCCCAAGGCCCCAGGGACCGCTGCTTGCTTGGCTGGCGGGGGTCGTTAACCAACTGACTCTGTTTCAGAAAATCAATCACTTCCCTGGCATGACCGAAATCTGCCGCAAAGATCTGCTGGCTCGGAACCTGAACCGCATGCAGAAACTCTATCCTACGGAGTACAACATCTTCCCCCGCACCTGGTGTCTCCCTGCAGAGTGAGTGACACCCCCGCCCACACTGCCCAGGCTCATGTCCTCGAGTAGGAAAGGTTTCACCATCTCAGTTCCCTCCAGACTCTGACCTTGTGACCTAGAAAGTCTCAAGGGATGAGAGTTTCAGCTGGTCTAAGAAAAGAAGGTCTGAGACAGACGCTCCAGGAAGAGCGTGGACGGGAGCAGATCTCCATGGGGCCTGGCTCAGCTGTGATGCACAGATCCCTTCTTCTTTTTTTTTTTTTTTTAAGATTTTATTTATTTATTTGACAGACAGAGATCACAAGCAGGCAGAGAGGCAGGCAGAGAGAGAGAGGAGGAAGCAGGCTCCCCGCTGGGCAGAGAGCCCAATGGGCTCGATCCCAGATCCCTGGGACCATGACCTGAGCCAAAGGCAGAGGCTTTAACCCACTGAGCCACCCAGGCGCCCCACACAGAACCTTTCTGACCAGCCTCTCTCTGCACATAGCTTTGGGGACTTCCAGTCCTATGGCCGTCAGCGAAAAACCCGCACCTATATCTGCAAACCGGACAGTGGTTGCCAGGGACGGGGCATCTTCATCACCCGAAACCCCCGGGAGATCAAGCCGGGAGAGCATATGATCTGCCAGCAATACATCTCCAAGGTGAAGGGTGCCTCGGGACCCCCGGGGCCCTCCCCGAGCCCTGGGGTGCCTCGTCTCTCCCAGTGCCATTAACTCCTACCCTTCCTGCTGCTTCCGCTCACCTCGGAGGCAGCCCAGAGTCATGCTTCAGAGCAAGCCTTTCTGGGTCTGAATCTGAGTTTTCCCACTTCTTAAGTGTGTGATCTTGGGCCATTTCTTACTCTTTCTGTGCCTTAGTTTCTTCATCTGTTGAATGGGAGTGATAACAGTAACTATTTTATGCTTCATACTGTTATTATGAAAATTAAATGAGGTATTCTGATTTGAAACACTTAAACAGTGCATGGGATAGAACGAGCACTTCAAAGATTTTCTTCCCCGGTGGGGGTGCGTGCTTTCAGCCCTTCCTCATCGACGGCTTCAAGTTTGATATGCGGATCTATGTCCTGATCACGTCCTGTGACCCTCTTCGGATCTTCATGTATGAGGAGGGCCTGGCCCGCTTTGCCACCATGCCCTACGTGGATCCCAGCCACAGCAACCTGGTAAGGGGCCAGCTGGCAGCCCCGGGGCGCAGGGCGGCGCCCTCCTCTCATGAGCGCTGAGGTTCCATGGAGAAACCAAGTAGAGAGGCTTGTCACGGTCACCCGTGAACCCTGGCACCTGGCTGGGAGGAGAGCAGCTGGGGGGTGGTGAGTGCTACGAGGTCCTTCCTGGAAGAGCCTGGCCTACCCCTTTCCCCAGGAGCTTACCGGACAGTTCGTAGGTGAAGACGGACGGGAGATGAGCTGTCCTGGGGAGGGATGGGTGATCAAAAGGCAATAAAGGGCTAGAGACAGGGTGCTGGAGGGAAGCAGTCTGAGCCACGGGGCCGCTCTCTTCCCAGGATGACGTCTGCATGCACCTGACCAATTACGCTATCAACAAACACAATGAGAATTTTGTCCGGGATGATGCTATGGGCAGTAAGAGGTACTCCCTACTCTGATGGCTCTTCAGCTTATGGTCTCAGCAGCCCAAAAACTGAGCCGGCTCTTGGGAGGCCAAATGCTCAGGAAAACCATCTTTACAGACCCCTGTCCTGTGCCTGACCTCTAAGTGCAGCCCCACCCCCCACCCTGATCAGTAAGCCCCGCTCCACGCTCCCATGCAGGCACCCGGAAGTAGGGGTAGTGGTAGGGACCATCCTGCCTGCGGCCCAGACCCACTGGTGTAGAAATGGGTGGTCCTCTGAGCACTGGGCCTCGCAGGAAGCTGTCCACACTCAACGCCTGGCTGCGAGAACACGGCTACAACCCCGGAGAGTTGTGGGGGGACATCGAGGACATCATCATCAAAACCATCATCTCAGCCCATTCTGTTCTTCGCCACAACTACCGAACCTGTTTTCCCCAATATCTGAGTGGAGGTACATGTGCCTGTTTTGAGATCCTTGGTTTTGACATCTTGCTGGACCACAGGCTGAAGCCCTGGCTGCTGGAGGTGAGGAATGTCTTTTGGGCTTTGCAGAACCAAGGTCCAGAGGCCGCCCTGAACGGGATGCCTGGCACATACATGCACTCAGTTGGTGGAAGAGAGAATGGGGGACGTGGTGGCACTGGGGTGGGGATGTAGATCTCTCCGCTTTTGACCCGATGAGTCAAATCTGAGTGGTCTCTGGCCACTGGTCCAGGATTTGAATCCCAAGTGTTCCTCATATAATCTTTGTCTTTTGGGACACTGTATCTATAGAATCAGGCTGTCTGGGTATCAGAGGGATCTCCATGGCACAGTCCTGTGGCCTTGGGAGTCAGAAACACCCGCCTCCTTGGCTGAGGCCTCTGCAGGGGGAGATGTCTTGATTATACCCTCAGTCAGGTCTCCAGGAGACCACGCCTGCTTGGGTGATCTGGGAACGGGGTGGATAAGGACTCCTCCTGGCAGGTAAACCACTCTCCAAGCTTCACCACTGACTCCCGCCTTGATCGAGAAGTGAAGGATGCACTTCTCTGTGATGCCATGACCCTTGTCAACCTCCGAGGCTGTGACAAAAGGAAGGTGATGGAGGAGGACAAGCGGCGAGTCAAGGAACGGCTTTTCCAGTACCATCAGCAGCCACGGGAAGCGAGGTGCTCCAGGTGTCTGAGCTATCTTGTTACCACTGGCCTGGGCATACTAGTGCTTCTTTAGGTGGGGAAGGTGGTCTAGGGCTGATAGGCTACAAAGAATAACTTTTTTCTGCAGAGATAATATGTTACATATCACAGACAATATGTTCAAAATTCAAAAGATACTGTGAATAATCTCTTAATTCTTCTCCAGCAACTGTATGCCCCCAGACGAGCCAATCTCTGTTCCTTGGGTCACATGTATACTTGGATAAATATTTAATGCATACATACCTACACACACACACACACACACACACACACTGTTCTCCTCCCTTTACCCAGACAATAATGTAACTTTCACATTCTCTGTCCCATGCGTAGCAGTGTCATTTGGAGCTATTTCCTGTTAGCACATAAGGACCTTTATGTGGTCTGATGAGCTGTTTGTTCTTGCTTTTTTTTTTTTTTTAAACAAAGCTCCTCTAGAAAGTTTATAATGAAACAGAAAACAGTCTAGTCATTCCATAATAAGGGATTGTTGAAATCAGTCTTTTTCACCCACTGTTGCTTTCATTATAAGATGGGTTAAAACATGGCGATTTGTTGCTGATACTAAATTATAATGTTAATAATACATACAAATGAGAGGCGCCTGGGTGGCTCAGTGGGTTAAAGCCTCTGCCTTCAGCTCAGGTCATGATATCAGGGTCCTGGGATCGAGACCCGCATCGGGCTCTCTGCTCAGCAGAGAGCCTGCTTCCCTCTGTCTCTCTTTCTCTGCCTGCCTCGATGCCTACTTGTGATCTCTGTCTTTCAAATAAATAAATAAAATATTTAAAAAAAATAATACATACGAATGAATTGGAGTAGGTTTAGAATTATTCCCATAACAACATCACTCTTCACCACCTGCTTCGCAATAGGCGGGGCAGGTGTGTATTTGATCTGTCATGATATCCTGAGGGCCTGGAACACGTAGGCACTCAAATGTGTGAACGGAGGGAAGTAGAACTATGAATACAGTGGGTATTCCCACAGCGGGACATGACTGTAGGAATTGTGTCCTTCAGTGGGGAAAAGGGCTGAAAACTACTGGACTTTTTTTTTTAATATTTTATTTATTTATTTGACAGAGATAGATCACAAGTAGGCAGAGAGGCAGGCAGAGAGAGAGAGGGAGAAGCAGGCTCCCTGCTGAGCAGAGAGCCCAATGCGGGGCTCGATCCCAGGGCCCTGAGATCATGACCTGAGCCGAAGGCAGAGGCTTAACTCTCTGAGCCACCCAGGCGCCCCTGGACTTTTTTTTTTTTTTTAAGATTTTATTTATTTGACAGGCAGAGATCACAAATAGGCAGAGAGGCAGGCAGAGAGAGAGGGGGAAGCAGGTTCCCTGCCGAGCAGAGAGCCCAATGCGGGGCTCGATCCCAAGACCCTGGGATCACGACCTGAGCCGAAGGCAGAGGCTTAACCCACTGAGCCACCCAGGCGCCCCAACTACTGGACTTATTAAGCAAACATACAGCAGGGCCTGGCCAGCTCAGTGGGTGGAGTGTGTGACTCTTGTTCTCAGGGTTTTGAGTCTGAGCCTCAGGTTGGGTGTAGAAATTACTTAAAAATAAAATCTTGGGTGCCTGGGGGGCTCAGTCAGTTAAGCATCTGCCTTCGGCTCAGGTCATGATCCCAGAGCCCAGAATTGAGCCCCACATCAGGCTCCCTGCTCATTGGGAAGCCTGCTTCTCCCACTCCCCCTAACTGTGTTCCTGCTCTTACTATCCCTCTGTCAAATAAATAAAATAAAAATAAACAAACAAAATCTTAAAAAAAAAATAAGGAACAAAAGTACAATCATAGAGTCACTTGAATACTAGGCAGCCATTAAAAAATGTTGCTGTATGATCCCATTTTTGTCTGAAAGAAGAAAGGAAGGGAGGATTAAATAAAGAGCAAGGTAGTTAGGAGCAAAGCTAGGATTCAGACTCGGGGGTCCTTTCCGAGTCCATGCTCATAACCAATATGCTAATTGCACAGTAAGATTATGGGACGTTTGGTCTTTTTGTGCTTCTGCATTTTCTGTAATTAACATAGATTATAATCAGAAACCCCAAAAGATGGTGATAACTTGGGAGTGCTAGCATATGAGGAGACCCCTTTGCACTTAAGATGAAAACCAGATTTCTGGGGCACCTGGGTGGCTCAGTCATTAAGCGTCTGCCTTCAGCTTCGGTCATGATCCTAGCATCCTGGGATTGAGCCCCGCATCGGGCTCCCCACTCGGCGGGGAGTCTGCTTCTCCCTCTCCCACTTCCGATGCTTGTGTTCCCTCTTTCACTGTATCTCTCTCTGTCAAATAAATAAAATCTTCAAAGAAAGAAAGAAAGAAAGAGAAAGAGGGAGGAAGGAAGGAAGGAAGGAAGGAAGGAAGGAAGGAAGGAAGGAAACCAGATTTCTGGAAGTCAAGCCTCTGTTTTCATGGCTACACACAGGTGGCATTGGCCAGATGGCCTTGGCAGCTTTCCCTACGTGGGCCATGGACAGAAAGGCCACGAAGCTAGCGGGAGATCCTCAAAGCTTTGGCTAGCCTTCCTTCCCCCACTGCACATTCTCACAGTCTTCCTGACTCACTCTGAGCCTGGTTTCCGTAGGCGAGAACAAATTGAGTCATCCCATGCCGCAGTACTGGACCAGGAACGCTATGAGGATTCCCACCTCGGGGGATACCGGAGGATCTACCCTGGGCCCGACACGGAGAAGTATGCACCTTTCTTCAAGCACAATGGCTCCCTCTTCCAGGAGACTGCTGCTTCCAAGGCCAGAGAGGAGTGTGCCAGGTACTTTGCCTTGCATTCTCCTCTGTCCACTTGAGCGGAGCTTATCCTGAAGCTGAATTGTGCCCCAGCAGGGCATAGAGGAAGCCGGACACTTGAGCAAAGAGGAATGGGGTCTTATGTCCTATCAGACTCTTAGTGACTCCGTTTCCCTTTAGTAGGCTTCCCGTCTTCCTCCTCATTCTTCTCCTGCTCCCCCACCACTCTCCCATACCCTGTCTCCCTCACCCTGCTTCTCCCCAGTACACTTTCTCCAGTGTCTGAAGCTGCTATGTCTTGTCAGGCAGCAACTGGAAGAGATCCGCCTTAAGCAGGAACAGCAGGAGAACTCAGGCAGTAAGAGGCGAAAGGAAAACAGGGACCAGAACCAGGGTGAATCAGCAGGGGAGAAGAGCCGATCCAGGGCCGGGCTCCGGGGACTTTCCACCCACTTGGCTTACAGGAACCGGACCCGGGAGAAAGAGGTGTCAGAGGTTTGGTAGCTCTTGCCTTTCTGCAGGAGATGGGTTGGGACTCCTAGAGAAGGGAATCTTTGCTGTCCTCTCCTCCTCTTGTGTAAGGGAGTGAGGAGTTCCTAATGAGTACATTGGATCTGACCTGGTGGACCAGGAGGTGAGAGAATGGATAGCAAAGGGCACCTTCCACTAGGGTCAGGGAAGGGAACGGGGCGGGGGGAGTGGAGTGGGCAGGAGTCCCCCAGCCATGATGGCGTGGGTCTCCCCCTTGGAGATCTTGAACTCATCTCTCGCGTACTTTACAGCTGCTGCCCGCACGCCTGGATACCATGCATCCTCAAGAGATTGTGGAAGAGGAGGAGCTCGAGCGCATGAAGGCCCTGCTCCAGAGGGAGAACCTCATCCGAAGCCTGGGTATTGTAGAGCAGCTCACCCTCATGCTGCACCCCAGCCGCCAGGGCCAGAAAAAACTTCATGAGTACCTGGTGAGGGTCCCTACGCAGCCTCTCACAGAACACGGGAAAACGGGCTACAGCAGCACACAGTGCTGGTCACAGCACAGGCGGCTAATGTGATGGTATCTGGCGCGCAGCCCGGGAGAGCAGAGTATGCTGGGTGTTGGGAAAGGGTCTCTTGGTTCCTTCTGCATTTGTTCCCCGGCTCCCTTGTTTGTGGCAATGACGTCTGGCCCAGTGCAGCTCCCACCCTTCTCCTAAGAAACCTGTTCTCTATGTTCCAGTCTTGCAATAACCCCAAACTCATGACTGACAAAGAACAAGGCCACCACCCTCGGTGGCTTCTGTGTAATCTCTCCCTAGCACTGCCAGTACCACGGCTCTAACGGGCGATAAGTAAACAGACTTGGGCCAACAGAACAGCTGCCGCATTCACTATTCCCTGGGCTAGTAGCAAGCCCACTGAGTCCTCAGTTTTGGCTGGGCCCCAAAGGAGTTAACGGGTTAAATAGTGGCCACAGTCTAGAAGAGATGTTTCAGTCACCCATCTGCTCACACCGTTCCATCCAGCCTCAAAAGAAATGTAAGGGGCTGCTCTTCTCCTCTAGCCTAGATGCCACCAGGACGGGCTGTGCAGTCAGAAACTGCAATCTGTGAGTCTGGTCCCATTGGTCCTCCTGAGAAGGGCCACAAAAGAGCAGGGCTCTCCTCATTTCCTGCATCCAGTCCGGGCCCACGAATTGGTCCCCAGGATCTTAGGGCCACTGCCAACCATGAATGCTGCCATTCCACATCATTCCTGGTGCCACCTACAGCCCAAGAACTTCAACTGGATAGGAGATCCAGCAGCCATCGGCCCCTGTTCATTGTCAATGAAGACATCTGGAAGGCGCTATTTTTCCAGTGCCAGAGTCAGGCTCACTAGCCGTAAGTATACAATACCAGCTTTGGTCACTCTGACTTGGGTAAATTCCCAGTAGCAAACATTACAGCTGGGATGTTCCCAAAATATAACATGGCACTTCCACCAGTGTGGGAGTGGGACAGGTAGTGGATCCTGGTAGAAATGGCAGAAGTACAGCCCTAGCACTCAACAAACCTAACAGGAAAACCGCCAAGTAAACACACAATTACAATGCAGCGTGGTATAGGTGCTGGAGGGGAGCATGGGATGCCATTCCTCTGTGTTGGTAATGGGGCAACAGGTGGTAAAGAGGTGAGGAATCTCCTGTGAATACCAACTCAGGGGACCCATGTTTCCACTGCAGAAGGCCAAGCCAACAGAAGGCTAGAAGCCATAAACAGAGCCCTGGCAGGATCAGTGTCTTCCACTTTAACCCCAAAGCAAGGCTATCTTCTGCAACCAGAAAGAGTGGAAAGTGGCTCATGGACTGATTGTGCCTGCCCTCCGCGGTAGACTCTGAACACAGAACACCCAAAGCCCGTGATCTCACTCTTTGCCCTGCCTCTGCACCCCTGATGCTGCAGACCACTGCCCTCCTTGACCTCAGCCACAACCGGTTAACGCAGGATGCAAGCCCAGCACTCGACCTCTCCTGGAGAGGCCCCTCAGGTTTCCAAAGGGGCGGAGGGCCTTCAATCTTTGCTAAATGAAAGACTGCCACCAAGCTTCAGTTTGAAAAGCCCTGGCCAGGAACCCTGTTTGCACAAGGCAAAACACAAAGACATCGAGAATTCCTCAATACCCTAAGATTATTTTCAGAACCGTAAAGACTAAAAGATGAAGAGGAGCTAGGGTCGGCCAAGTACTCATCCCCGCCCTTCAAACCTTAGCCTGGATTTATAGCTAGGTGATGGGTCTGAACCCCGGGTGCGGCCCGGGGCTGGAAGTCATCCTGGCGACAAGAAGCCCCTTTCCCAGAGGAGCCGTGTGCCCAAGGCAGGGGTCTGTGGCCATCAGAGGACCGCCGAGGGGACGCCTTTAACGCCGTCGTGGCGGAGACAGGCCGGCCTGGGCAGCCCTTGAGGTGGAGGGGCGGCTCTTGGCAAATGAATCCGTCTTTTTATTAAAGTTTATGGCGTTTTGCAGGAGCGTCCTCTACGTCATTCTGGCCCTTGCATCTCAGGCTCAATACTCTCCACATTCACAGCGGGGAAGGGTGGGCAGCGCACGGGTTCAAGCCCGTCTCCCCGTCCTCCGCCGGAAGCGGGAGAGACTCGCGACCATCCCTGCTTCCGGCCCGCCCTTCCACTCCCGCCCCCGCCCCTAGACTTCCGGTACTGCGCGTTTCCGGCTGCTAAAGACGTTGTTGTTGTTGTCGTCGACATGGCGGTTACTCTGAGCGTCTTGCTGGGCGTGCGTGTCCGTGCTGCTGTCGCTCGCTGTGGGTTCGCGACCCGGGGGGTGGCAGACCCCGGCTCTCTCGGCCGCGAGCCGGACCCCGATTCCGACTGGGAGCCGGAGGAGCGGGAGCTGCAGGAGGTGGAGAGGTACCCGCTCCTTCCTGGGCCCTCAGCCTGAAGCGGGGCTTCGCGCCCCTGCGCTCCAGGCCGCGCCCGCTAGGAGCCGGGCGTGGTGCCGCCGCCTCCGCCGCAGCTCTTGTTTCTTACCCGTTGTCAGGGGCGCAGGGGCGGGCGTGCGGCTCCTTTGGGACCACAGCTTTCTTCACCAGTGACGCATTTCATCACCCGTTTAGAAAGTTCGGCGTGCTTACGGGCTGTGTTAGGTATTAGATTTCTGGGGAGGTGTATGGAACAGGTCTGAGCCAACACACATGGCCTGATTGCCCTTGCAAACAAAGAGAAGAGGGCTGGGTTCTTTGTGATGTAGTCCGAGGCTCTTCAGCCACCCATTTTGCTCCCACGCATGGCTTCTGCCATTGGTTCTCTCCCCCAGCACCCTGAGACGGCAGAAAAAAGCCGCCCGGTTCCAGAAAATTCGGAGGCAGATGGAGACTCCGGGTGCTCCGCCCAGGACCCTGACGTGGAAAGCCATGGAACAGATCCGGTAAGACTCGCTGTAGTTGGGGGCGCCTGGGTGGCTCAGTGGGCTAAAGCCTCTGCCTTTGGCTCGGGTCGTGATCCCGGAGTCCTGGGATCGAGCCCCACATCGGGCTCTCTGCTCAGCGGGGAGCCTGCTTCCTCCTCTCTCTCTCTCTCTGCCTGCCTCTCTGCCTACTTGTGATCTCTGTCAAATAAATAAACAAAAAAATCTTAAAAAAAAAAAAAAAGACTCGCTGTAGTTGGGATCAGCTGTGACGAGAAGTGATGAATACGGGGGCCTAGAACGTTATTGTTGTATTTTACTTTTTTGATTTAAGATTTCTCAATGACAGAATAGTATAACGAATTTCCCTAAGCTCGTCATCTAAATTTACCAGTCCTTAACATTAGTACACAGTTAGTTCCTTTTTGCTGACATTTTAAAAGCGTAGGCTGGAAGACATCACATCATTTAACCTCAGAATCGTAGATCGTGACGTTTCTAAGGTCAGGGATGGGGGCTTCCCTGGTTACGTAGGTTTTTCTGAAGAGAAAATCTGTATCTTAAAAGTCATAAAGCTCTTTTTTAAAATGTTACGTTTGTTTTGAATAGACGGTACATTACATAAGGCTCAAAATTAGAACAGTGTAATGTGGTCCGTACATTGAAAAGTTTTTTGTTTTTTTTTTTTTAAGATTTTATTTATTTATTTGACAGATCACAAGTAGGCAGAGGCAGGCAGAGAGAGAGGGGGAAGCAGGCTCCCTGCTGAGCAGAGAGCCAGATGCGTGGCTCCATCCCAGGACCCTGGGATCATGACCTGAGCCGAAGGCAGAGGCTTAACCCACTGAGCCACCCAGGCGCCCCTACATTGAAAAGTTTTAATCCTGGGATGCCTCCCAGGGTCCTGGGGTCCAACCCCACATCGGGCTCCTTGCCCAGCGGGGAGCCTGCTTCTCCCCGGCCTGTCATTCCCCCTGCTTGTGCTTGCTCGCTCTCTCCGCCCCCCCCCCTCGTTCTGTGTGTCAAATAAATAATTACAGTCTTAAAAAACAGTTTTAATATCAGCCACTCTCCCATGGAACTATTTTTGTTTCTTTTTCCAGGGGTCCTTATGCAGATAGGAGTATGAATATAGATTTTTGTATTCATTTCCTTAATCACAGACAGAATACTGTAAATATTGTTCTATACTTTTCCTTTTGAACATATTTCTTTTCTTTTTCTTTTTTCCAAATAATCTGTACACCCAACGCAGGGCTCAAACTCATAACCCCAGGGTCAGGAGTAGCATGCACGACTGATTGAGCCAGGCAGGAACCCTTTTTCAGATATTTCATAGACCTTTCCACTTAAGGACAGAAAGCTCTTTTTTGGAGAAATCCTAGTAAATCATAACCTTTTTTTTTTTTTTTTATTAAAGATTTTATTTACTTATTTGACAAAGAGAGAGAGATCACAAGTAGGCAGAGAGGCAGAGAGACGAGGAAGCAGGCTCCTTGCTCAGCAGAGAGCCTGATGCGGGGCTCGATCCCAGGACCCTGGGATAATGACCTGAGCTTAAGGCAGAGGCTTTAACCCACTGAGCCACTCAGGCACCCCCCCCCTTTTTTTTTTTTTAAATAAAGTGATCTCTATGCCCAGTCTGGGGCTCAAAAGCATGACCCTGAGATCAGGAGTTGCATGCTTTACTGACTAAGTCAGCCAGGAGCCCTAGTAATTCATAATTTAGTTAACTAGTCTTTCATGATGTGTATGTGGGTTGTTTGCACTGACTTGCTATCACAAATCGTGCTCTTCTGAATATACACAGCATTCACATACCTGGCAGGTACATTTGTTGTGTACATTCCCCGAAGTAGAGTTGATAGGTACAAGGGCAGGTGGGTTTGTGTTTTGATGAATATTGCCAAGTAGGCTTCCATAAGTTCTCTGTCGTTTTTCATTCCTGTTAGAATGACTCTGAAGGTGACACTTGGAAGAAAGTGGATTTTGTAGAGCAAGGAGATTTTGTGGGCCTGTAGCACCTCTCATGTCATCCTCCTCTCCCCTCTTGAACAGCAGCTTTTCCATATCTTCCTGTAACCTCCTTTTCTGTGGTTAACAGCTGTCCTTTTACTTTATTTTTTTTTAATTTCTTTTTAAAGATTTTATTTATTTGACAGAGATCACAAGTAGGCAGAGAGGCAGACAGAGAGAGGGGGAAGCAGGCTCCCTGCCGAGCAGAGAGCCTGATGTGGGGCTCAATCCCAGGACCCTGAGATCATGACCTTAGCCAAAGGCAGAGGCTTTAATCCACCGAGCCACCAGGTGCCCCTATCCTTTTACTTTAACGAAAAAACTGACCATTAGTTAAGATCCCTTTAGAGCTTCTTGGACTTCCTCTTTATTTCCAGTTCTCAGTGTTTACAAACTGGGGGAAATGGTGGCCCTTTACTTGTCTGGGACCAAT